GATAGGGACTAATTGAACACCTTTGACAGCCTCATCAACCATTGGAGTTGGGCACTCCTCCGCCCAAACATGTGGCTAACATTACTGTAGGAAGGCAATGAAAATGAATATGACTACAAGCCATAGCAAGTGGTCACTGTTGAAGTATATGTATCTTGTAATTTTAAAGCGACCGTGTGTAATTTAAGTTTTGAAATGTAACAGTACTTTAGGCCGGTGGCCATATAGTGCGGAATAAAGAAATAATAAAAAGTGGTCACTGTTCGTGTGCATTTGTAAGTGCAGATGGATGTTCTGCATGTCTATACGTTATGAACGTTTTGATAGGTTTAGAATCATGTTAAACCCGCTGTCCCAGTGTTCCAGTAGTCCATGTTGCCATTGTAATGGAATATCGCCCACTTTATTATTACCTACATCATCTGATATCATCCGAACCAAGGTCAGATCCAAGGGAAGGGTCTTACCTATTGCGAATAACAAATTTGTCAAAAAATAAACTTTTCATTGTCAAATACACACTTGTCATTCAGCAGCATCAAGACTGTCGGATCAGATCGTTTGCAATTATACTTATACGTATACTGTAATTGTCTCAGTTGTATTCCTATGCAGAGTGTCGTTGCTACAAATAACTCTAGATAACTTGTAAATTGACATTGTCTTAGTTTGGAAAACGGGTCTGTTTCATCGAATGCATACAAAGTTGCGTGCTACAAAATCAACGTTGTTTTGTTAATGATATATCATATTCAATATCATTCATCAACGTGCAGAAACAAACAACAATATTAAAATGTACATGTCTCCTCTGTATTGTATCTTTAATGCATTATTAAATCCCTTAAATTGTACAAACATTGATAGGGTTTTTGTCTTACAATGAATAGAGTGAAATAATGGTGTAAACAAATGGCAATAATAGTGTTAGTCTGAAATGCGACAAAATGCTGAAAACTGTCTAACATTTTCCCATGGTTACGAAATAGTCTAACGCATTTGATTTAAATGACCCTAGAAACTCGCTCAATAAACACTATTGGCTATTAATATTATGAAAATGCTCTTGTCGTAAGTGAGGAGTACTTATACCACTCTTTGTCATGCGACCTATTGTTCTGTCTGTACGTTTACTCTCAATAAAACGACACACGTGTCTTTGTTTCTATGTTAATTGTAAACCAGCCTCAATTGTATTCATATGCAAAATGTAATTGGGTCTGGGAATGGTTGCGAGGATGTTAACTAGAACCTGAACCCTAAACAGAACGATAACTGCCATTACCGCCCCAGTTGTTGCACCTTAGCGAAGTAATGCTGCAAATTTGGCAAGTGTTAGATGGTTTTGTTTTCAGCCCCACCGAGGGCTGTGTGTTGCCATAGCGTACATATATTTTTTTTATGCAACTCCTTTTGTATGGAAGGACGATATGCCAATTACATGTAAAAATCACAATTGATATATATATATATATATATGTGTGTGTGTGTGTGTATAACCATGCATAACCATATAGCATAACCATGCACTCACATAGCTCGTCGATCTGGAGATCGTTGTGTCGAACTTTGAAATTATGCTCCTCAAAAAATGTCGCATTTTCAAATAGAAAGTGGTAATCTCTCCACCCGGACCAGGTGAGAACAAACACGTTCAGAAAAACAGTATTTTTCAAGCAAAGAAAGAGTACTTTTGAGTAAATGCTGAACGAAAAATGTGTGATATCGAAAGTTAGCTAACAGTTAGACAGCTAATAGA